CTTAGTGCATTAATTCTTACTGCATAATTGACACTATTTATTTCCTTTTAAGTAATATTTTTGCTGCATCCTCAAATTTTTGATAAGGAGGAATTTTATTACCATTCTGTTTTAGATTTTTGGGAAAAATTACATTAGAATTTTTTGATTAAGGATTTATTTAGAAATGTATATTTTAGGGGCACTTGGGTGGCTCAGTCCATTAAATGTCTGACTTTGGCTCAGGTCATAAGGTTGTATTTCATGAGATCGAGCCCCACATGGGGCTCTCTGCTGTCAGCCAGAGCGCATTTCAGATCCTTTGTCTCTGTCTCTCTCTCAAAAATAAACATTTAAAAAAAAAAGCATATTTTAAATTTCAAAATATATGGGTATGTAAAACATAGCCTTTTATTTTTTATTTTAAGTATTTTTGCACCAAGGTTAGAGAATATATCTGTATGACATTTACTCTTTGAAATTTTTTGAGGTTTACCCAGATCTAATATATTTTCATTATATGTTTTTTTGAGAAGAGTATAATTTCCTTATTTCTTATGATATCCAGCTTGTTATATTGTTATAAACACACACAGACAACTTTTTGTTTTCTGCAATCTCCCAGTATAACGTTCCATTTCTCTACATTTCTTGCTTTTTTTTTTTGCTTTATTATTTTGAAGTTGATTAAATGCATACAATTCTAAAATATTTAAATCCTTATCATTATATAGTGACTATCTCTATCCCTAATATGTTCTTTGACATAATTTGTCCTTTGTATAATCATCTAGCCACCTCAACTTTCATTTGGTTTCTTTTTGCCTAACTCATTTTTTACTATAGCTTTATCTTTAGTTTTTAGGTAGGCTACTTATAAATAGCATATAACTGTATTGAAAAGTCCAATCTGGCAGTCTCTTTTAACTTGAGTTTAATCCATTTGTATTTATTGTGATTATTGATATAGGTGGATTTGTGTTTTTTGTTTTTTTTGTTTTTTAATGTTTTATTTATTTTTGAAAGAGAGAGACAGCATGAGCAGGGGAGGGTCAGAGAGAGAGGGAGACACAGAATCTGAAGACAGGCTCCAGGCTCTGAGCTGGCTGTCAGCACAGAGCCTGACGCGGGGCTTGAACCCACGAACTGTGAGATCATGAGCTGAGCCAAAGTCAGATGCTTAACCCACTGAGCCACCCAGGCACCCCAGTGGATTTGTTTTTAAAGCCTACTTTTTGTTTTTGATATCTATTGCTTTTTCTATGCTATTTTTCTTTTCTTGCTTTTTAAGAATTGAAATTTTTGTTTGCTTTCTTATTTCATTTTTTCCTCCCCTAAGGATTTGAATGTTACATTTTTAGGTTTCCAGTGGTTACCTTTGGCATTTTCCCAGGCTTATTTAACAAAATCTGAATTAGTCCATAATTTCCCCCATTCCCAAATAGAATCAAGAATCCCAAAACATTTTAACTCAAACATTTACCCAATCACCTTACATGTCATTGTTGTCTAGTCTTTTAGTGTGCCCTTTCAAAAAGCACCCACATAGGTGGACATGATTATTGTTTCATATAGATATGGCTTATTTAGATTTACCTGTATGGTCAGCATTTCTTTGCTTATCATTCCTTCTTGTCTTTTGGCTCCCCCTCTGGGATCATTTTCCTTCTATCTGAAGTGTAGTTTTTAGTAGTTCTTTAGATAAGAACTATTGGTAAACTCTCTAATTTTGGTATATCTGAAATGTCCTTATTTTGTCTTCTTTCTTACAGATGAGTTTTGCTCTCTGACAGTTATTTCTTCTCTGCATTTTCAACATATTAGGTCACTATTTTCTGATTTCCATTGGTATATTGTTTGTTATAATTTCACAATTGTAAATAATCTGTCATTTTTCTCCAGCTGCTTTTTGAGCTTCTTCGTGTATCTGGGTGTGGTTTCATTTTCCAGATTTGTTTTCCTGCTGGATGGCATGCATTGTACTTTCTGCTTTTTTAGATCTCAGTTTCATTACTGTTGGAAAAACCTCAGCCTTTCTCTCTTTAAAATTTGCCTCTCTCCCATTGTTTCATTCTGGGACTCCATTTATTTGTATGTTAGACTTTTTCATTTTAACCTCTATCTCTTTTAACCTCTCTTTTGTATTTTTTATCCATTTGTCTTTTTTGCATTCTGGGTAATTTCTTCAGCTTCAATTTAGAATTCACTAATTTTCTTCAGTCTGCTGTTAAATCCATCGAATTAGGTTTGTTTCCAACAACATTTCATTTCTGAATATTCATTTTGCATCATATCAGGTCCTTTCGTGGTGCCTTATTTCTTACTTATTTTTGTGACTCCAGTTTTTAATCCTTTAGTATATCATTATTCTCTATTTGATAATTCTATTCTTTGAAGTCCTTGGGAGTTGTGTTTCTGCTGACTCTCACCTGTGGTTTGTTGATCTTAGATACTGAATTTCATTTGGTTGGTCTGAACTGAGGCTGCATTTCTCCAGAAAGGACTTAAATTTGCTTTTGCCAGAAGCCAAAACAGCATTGTCTTGTTTGTTTATTTGTATGTGCACGCAGGCTCCCATTTATTTGGTGCCATGGTGATTTCTCTTACCTCCTGAGAGTTTAGCAGTACATTAAAAAGTATGTCTTTTGTTCAGGAACTAGTTGCTATGTAGCAGGCAGACTCCTCACGAAGTGAAAGCAGGAATGAATTCTCTAGTTAGGAAATAGTTTTAACTGTTGGGTTGGATTAGACTTTTAAAAGTAAGCTCTGCTAAGTGCATCAAAGGTTCACTTGTGACTGTCCATTTCTCAACAGGGAAAACAAACATGAAGCCGAAGTATTTTGAGTAACTATTAAAGGTCAACCTGCACTAAGATAAAACCCCTACCTGGAGCTACTACAGAATTTGCAGGGAGAAAGCTGAATTTAACTGAGCAAAACCTCCACTTTGCACACTTTCCAGTAAGCAAAATTAGTAAGTTTCACCTTAGACAAAAAAATGTCATAAACAAGTTGTTCATTTCGTTTCATTGTGGCCAACCCCTCTCAATGTTCTCTGGACAGCTCCCTTTTCACTTTCTCCAACAATTATTTGTAACCTTTTCCTCCCTCTTCAACTCTGAGAGCCCAATCTTCTTCCCTCACTATCTCTCTGGGCAGATACCGCTGATTACTTTTCTGCAAAGGATACAGACATCATCAGAAGAGAGCTGCTACACCTTGCATCCCCAGAGTAAGCCCTCCACACCCACTGGCACCTGTCCTTTGCTCCTATTTTAAAAGATAGGCCACTCCTCCTTCTCACTAAGCCACCAGTGGTCTGGACCTCATCTCTTTCCACATCCTCTAGGACTTGGTGGGATTCTCCCGCTGTCTCATCTTTAGCCATTCCTGTTTATCTTCTTCTTTTCCAGGAACACCCAAAACATATTCATGTTAAAACCATGGAAAAAAAATAACAACCCCTTCTTCTAATACCCCTCTGCTTCTCCCCAGTTACTAGTCCTCTCCCCGCTCCCCACTTTATAGCCAAATCTCAGAGAAGCTGTCCAGAACTAGTCTCCATTCCCTTACTAGTCTCCATTCATCCCCAGCCCTCCAGAACTGCATTGACATTCTGACCATAAAGTTTCCCTGTTAACTGCTCTTCACTGTACTTGACTCTCCATAGCATTTTAAGACATTATATTGATTTAAAAAGTATATGCATAAGGTAGGTTCTATTTCTGAATTTCATTTTAGGTTAGCAAAAAGGGGTTTTCAAGTATTTGTTAGGGAAAGTTGGTGCTGGCCTGGTGAGATTAAAAAAAATTTTTTTAATGTTTATTTATTTTTGATAGAACACAAGGTAGGGGAGAAGAGAGTGAGGGAGACACAGAATTGGAAGCAGGCTCCAGGCTCTGAGCTGTCAGCACAGAGCCTGATGTGGGGCTCAAACCCACAGGCTACAAGATCATGACCTGAGCTGAAGTTGGTCGCCCAACGGACTGAACCACCCAGGGGCCCCTGGCCTGGTGAGATTGAAAGTTTCTGCTTTAATGGACACCAGAGCAGTGACCCAGTAGAAGCAAGGCTTCTGTACTTCCAAGGGCCCACGTCATTGCTTTCGGAAGAGATTCAGCTTATCAAATAGCCGAGTGATTGGGGTGCCTGGGTGGCTTAGTTGGTTAAGCGTCCGACTTTCACTTAGGTCATGATCTCACGGTTGGTGGGTTCGAGCCCCGTGTCGGGCTCTGTGCTAACTGCCAGCTCAGAGCCTGGAGCCTGTTTCAGTCTGTGACTCCCTCTCTTCTGACCCTCCCCTGCTCACGCTGTCTCTCTCTGTCTCCTAGAAATAAATAAACATTAAAAAAAAAAAAGAATCAAATAGCCGAGTGATAAGTCTTCTCTTAAGCTTACTCGAGTTATTCCGGTTGCGCCTTAGCTCTCGTGTGCACCACACAAGAACTTAATAATGGACATTCTATCACTTTTAAAGCTTAACTCTCTCACCGTGATGTGTGGAAGGACACAGGACAGAGAAACAAAACCCCCAGCATGAGATCTGTTTTGTTGTTGAAAGTTATTTGCAGTGAAGTTGTTTTCTGACTGTGGTTCTTTCTTTGGAAAACTCTTATCAAGGGCTCAAGGCCGTCTTTTGGTTATTGTTCCCAGGAAATGGTATGGATTTTTTTTCTTCCCTACACAGGAAACCACAAAAGCTTGAGCATGATAGGTGGGTGTTCTCTGTAGAGTTCCTGTTTTCTTGATGGACCCAGGACCGACGTGTGGGACCACCCCAGGGGACAGCCCACCCGGAACACAGAGCACAAGGCTGTGGCTTGGGGGGAAGCGCGTTTGCTCCTTCTGCCTTTCAGAGGACAGGGGTCACAGCCACGTCTGCACGTGCAGGGACACCTCTCCAGGGCAGCCAGAGGACCAACATCCTGGAGAAGCTGGTCATGGGGCAGAGACGCAGCACCACGAACACGAATGAGTGGGCAGGTAATCGGTGGGACAGAAATGAAAGCCTGAAACTCACAGAAGGTCAAGTGTTTATTTGTGTTGCTCTTAGACAAGCCCTACAAGGTTTCAAACACAAAATACACAGACGGTTGCGATGGCGTTGATTTTAAACCTCAAGCCATGGCATTTAGGATTTCTGGAGCACATTGGTTCAGGCACTTTTGTACCCAGAGGCACAGAGAATTTACCAGCAGAAAAGGAGTGACTCGCGCTCATGAGGACACCATCGCCAGTGGCCTGGTGAGGTAGGGAAGAGCAGCAGACACCAGATCAAGGCCCAACACACAGCCCACCTTGCCTTTCATGGGCTGACTGTCTAGTCGGTGGGTGGCCAGTCCCCTGTTGAACCCGCTCCCCCCTGCCACTCCCATCCCTCTCGGAGCCATTTCCTTCCCCTAGGAGCGCCCGTAGCAGGAGGTGGCCGGGGAAGGGGAGGGAGCGTGCTGGAGTTGGCTGTGTGCCAGCATCTTTGGTATAAGGAGATTCCCAGGGCCCAGGGAAGGAGGGCCACCAGCACTGCCTGGGGCCAGCGGTCCCTAGTGGGGCCTGGCCGCCCATGTTCTCTGTGCTTCCAGTCAGCGGGAAATCGACAGGCCCTCCTCATGCGAAGCAAATGCGGGAACATGTGCTTCACCTGCCTCCTTTTCAGCGAGCCTGTCCGAGGACCACAGCACCACGCCGTCAGGGCCCACTCAGAAGACGAGCATCTGCCGCTCAGCCTCGAAGGAGCAGATAGACAACATCTGCAGAAGCCGCCAGCTTCGCCTAAACCACCTTCCCTTCGTCCATCTCTGGCCCTAATGGGATATTCTTGCACTTGGCTTTCTTTCTCCCCCTTTTCGCTAAAGGACTCTACTGCGTCCTGCGGACACAACTCATGAAGCCTCTCGGGGGCAGCCATGGGGGTCTTCTGGAAGCACCATCTCATCAGCCTTTGCTGGCTCGACCGTGTTCCTAAGATTCCCCGCGGCCCAGAAGACTCGAGTGTGGCCAACACTCTGCATTCGGAGCGGAGTTCAGGGTTTGTCTCACTCGTGTCTTCTGGGGGGACCCCATCCCCTTTGTGGTCAAAGGGCCTTTTCTTGTGTGGAGGGGACAGATCATCCTGGCCTGGGGTCGGGGGGCTCAGCCAAGAACAGCTATTTTTCCACAGGGGAAATCACAGCAGTTTCAGCAGGAACCAGCAAGGGTTGGCATGGGGGTTCGAGGACACGTGTCCTGGGGCCCTGGCTGGGGTCCAGCCTCTTGTGCCTTGGGGCGGCAGGACGATGAGTTTGCAGCTTTGGTAGAAAAGACCCTCCCAACTACTCTGAAATGTAACCGGCTGGGGTTGGTAGTCCTTGGGGTCACTTTTGCCCACGTTCTCCCTCTTTCTCGAAGCAGTGTGGAACGTGGAGCGGGGTCTTCTGGCAGGTTCTCTGCCCAAGGTTTTTCCACGGGCCCAGTTCAGCAGGGACAACGAGTCCCCCAGTGCCCTGGGCGGGTCTAGGAAAAGCCTCAGCTGCAATGCTGAGTGCCGTCTGCTTCCTTTCCCGCTTCCCCCTCGAACTGCTTTCCGGAGGGCCTGCTCCGGGCCTTCCTAAGAGATATCCAAACTAATGATCTGAAAGGTGAGAAGGCACAGTGGTTTAAAGAACGGTCACCACCAACTTAAAGGAGGGGAAAAAAAATTACACTTGTTCTCAAGGCATTATGGCTCCTACGCGGAGGGGACTTCACACTCCTGCAAGGGGATCAATGTGCAGCCGCAGTGGGGACTTCTGACTTGCAGGAAAAAATCTTCCCGGCTCAAGGAGAATTGGGGGGGATAGCTTCGGCCCCAACCCCCCGCCCCGGCAAAGGACTGATCTTTAATTGTCTTCCAGGGTACAGACACCAGGCTCACCCCCCGGGGCCTGGACTCCCACACGAGCCTGACCTCCTGCCGCCACTGCAGGTGAATGAGAGAGAAGCCACCCCTGCTCACTGGTGACTCTTCAACCTTGTGATCCCAGGAGGCTCCAGGCAGAGCTCTCACCTGCCCCCCCTTAGAGCTCCATCTCTGCTAAAGCCTTGGGAAAGCAGCAAAAAGGGAGTGGGACACAAATGGATGGAACCCACCACGGTAAGAGTCTTCCTGCCTTTCTCTGTGCCAAGAGTGTGTCTATTTCCGCAAATATCACAACAGTATGGGCTGCTGTTCTCCTAACATTTGGCTCTTGCTTTTAAATCTACAAGTTGAAATCTCAGGGGCTCAACTTTTTAAGTATAAATGCAAATATATATAAGTATATATATACATATGAAATATACATGAACATATATATCACACACATGTGCGTGCCATCTGGAATATTACTGTATTCCTGGGATACATTTGTGTCCTGGGAATTCAGACCTCAAACCACCAATTTGTTCACAATTTCACCCTCCTGCACTATGGAGAAAAGCAGCCCCGACAGGCCCTGGGCACTGTCCTGCCCATGTCTGGGTTCTGGGGCCATAGGCGGGCACCTCACACGTGGCTCGTCTTCTGGGCCAGGGCGTGGCCCATCGGCAGTGTGAACTTGATGGCGGCATCCCTCTCCCAGCCCCTCCGGATGCGGGAGAGTCTGCGGCTGAGGCAGGGCAGCAGGAACAGAGCCTTGGCCAGGATGACGACACAGGGCACGAGCAGCGTGAGTGTGAAGGTGGGAGGCAGGTAGAACTTGTAATGGCGGTCTTCGAAGGCGCGGGTCCAGCCGTAGGTGAGTGTGTGCAGGGTGCTCAGCACCAGGGCCACGAAGCCCAGAGTGGACTGCGGGAGAAAGGAAGGACGGGGTCAAAGCAGAGACAGGCACGGGGACCCGACCAGCGGCTCGTCTGCTTGCCTGGCATAGTGGACAGAAGTGGGGGTTGACTTGGTAGTCAAGACTCTGGGTTCCAACCCCAGCCCCTCACCCCCTCTCTGCATGATCTTATTAACTCCCTAAACACTCAGCCTCAGTTTCCCCAATGGTAAAATGAGAATAATACCTCTACCCTGCAGGTGTGTAAGGACTGGCTAAATCACAAGCATCTGATTAAGGAACGCGGCTTTCCCCCAAACTGTGTTATTCTTACCTCTCGTGGCTGCCAGAGGACTTTCAATGGAGCAAAGTTCAAGGATGTTTAAAACCATTCTACTAGTTTTTGCTCAAATTTTAACGTATATTAGAGTACCAGGTGTCTGCCAGCATGCCAAAGGCATCATTTCACAAATAACAATTCGCCTAAAATGAGGTGAGATAAAAAGGCGAACGGGTTTTAGATTGATTTAAAGATAAACACAAAGTAGCACACGTACTTGGCATCTGGCTTTGGCACCAGTAGCAAGGGCGGCTCACCACCGCGACCCTGCTGGCTGGGTCACCCGACACTAGTTGTGAAGTGAAGCCCTAGGCTTGCCGGTGCCGGATCCTCCCCTCTCGTCCATGACCTGACTCACGGAACACCTCAGCGGGAAATGCCGCCTGCGTGGAAGGGGACATGCGGGGACAGAGGCCATCATGACCCTAATCCATAGCTCCAGCCTCGGAATCTCTGGCAGGTCAAGTCGTGGATGACAAACGAGGCATTCCGGAGTCTACCGTTGGTGGTATAGTCTCGAATGGTGCTGTGACGCCGGGAAAGCCACTAAGTCAGCCTCAGTGAGAAGTCCGCGGTTCCCAAAGCGGAGGCTGGAGATGTGGGGGGAGGGCCGTGTGGATGGGCGTTCTGCAGCCCCCCACCCCAGACGAGGCTGGGGTGACAGGCGGCGTGGGGCACCGAGAGTCAGGGCTTTGCGGCGGGCGTGGAGGAGAGGCACCGGGCAGTACTGAGGAGCCGCAGAGCGATCTGGAGGCGAGAAAGCCCTTATGTTCATTGCCGAAGGGATGAACACAGCAGTGACCCATCAGGCAATGAACACGTAACGCATTTTCTCCAAGGAGACCCTGTAAGGGTGGGACGGTTCCTCGTGATAATCTTTAGGGGTTGGTTGAGCTTTCTGCAGGAAAGCTACGATCGGGCGATTTCCTTCCAGCCCAGCTTGTCAGCATCCATCCAGGGGTTTGACTGGGAGACAGTCTCATCTGTGCTCCCCTCAGGCACGGTTCTAAGTGCGTCCGATTCTGCTACCGTGCCTCACTCTCGCTGCTCCCTAGGATGGTGGGGGGGGGGGGGGGCGCCTCACTGATAACGGCTTCAGTCCAGACACCAGGGCGGGAGACCTCAGTACATGAAAGAACACTGGGAGAATCGCTTACAATACTTTTATGCAAAAACAAACATTTTCTAATGGCTATCCACTTTATGTTCATAGGGAGGTTCCCAGGCACAGCATTTCTGAGCCCTAAAAAATACTAGCTGCCAACAGACCCCCCGTTTCAATCCTTCCTAGCCATCTGTTTTTTCTGAGCTTCTAACCACATCAAGGAGGTCTTTATCCCATCTTTAACAATTTCCTGGCTCAACCCAGCCTGTTGGGAAAAGCCATCGTTGGATCTGTGCTACTCCCCAGTTAGGTCATATTAAAATGGCCAGTTCCCAGGTGGAAGGCTCCCTGCCTGCCAGTCACAGCCAAATCCACATCACTTTGAGATGTATCTCTCCAGAACTCCAAATCTCTTAGCAACTTCTAAACCACACCAACTTTTTCTAAGTTCCGATCTACTGATATTGAAGACTGTGGTTAAAAAGATATCCAGCACCAAGAAAGTATTTGTAATGAATATCCAGAATACGCAGAGAACTCCTAAACTCAAAAACAGAATTCCAAACAACGTAGGGGACCTGGGTGGGTCAGTCAGTTAAGCGTCTGACTCTCGACTGCGGCTCAAGTCATGATCTTACAATTCGTGAGTTTGAGCCCCAGGTCAGGCTCTGTGCTGACGGTGTGCAGCCTGCTTGGGATTCTCTCTCTCTCCCCCTACCCCATTCACGCTCTCCTTCTCTCAAAATAAATAAGCTTGAAAAAGGAAAAAAGAAAACCAAACAACCCAATGCAAAAATAAGCGAAGTAGTTGAATAGAAATTTCTCCAAAGAAGAGCTCTGGATGGCCAATAAGCACATGAAGATACGCTCCACATCACTGATCACTAGGGAAATGCAAATCCCAACCACAGTGAGATTCTGCCTCCTGCCTATTACGATGCCTACTGTCAAAAAACCAGAAAACAAGCATTGAGAGTATATGGAGAAATGCGAAGCCTTATGCGCTGTAGGTGAGGATGCAAAAGGGGGCAGCTGCTATCGAAGACATTTTTAATAAACTAAAAATAGAATTACCATGTGCCCCAGCACTCACTTCTGGCATACACCCCCAAAGAATTACGAGCCGGGTCCTGAAGAGAGAGGCGTATGCCCCACATTCATAGCAGCATTACGCACAGTAGCCAAAACGTGGGAGCAACCCAAGCGTCCGCCAACAGATGCAAGGATGGGCAAAATGGCATCATTCGAAACAGTGGGATATTATTCAGCCTTTAAAAAGGAAGGCAGTTTGGGGCACCTGGGTGACTCAAGTCAGTCGAGTGCCCGACTCTTGATTTCAGCTCATGTCGTGATCTCATGGTTTGTGAGACTGAGCCCCAGTGTTGGGCTCCTCACTCACTGACAGCACTGAGCCTGCTTGGGATTCTCTCTCTCCCTCTTCTCGGTCTCTCCCCTGCTTGTGCCACTCTCTCTCTCTCTCAAAACAAATGAATGAATGAATGAATGAATAAGAAAGCATTAAAAAAAATAAAAATGCAGGCAGTTCCCCCTCATGTGCTGACATGGACGAACCCAGAGGACACGATGCTAAGTGAAATAAGCCCATCGTAAAAAGAGAAATACTACATGGCTGTACTTCCGTGAGGTACGTACAGTTGCCAGGGGCTGGGGGAGGGGACAGTGGGGAGTTAGTGATTAATGGGGACACAGGGCCGGTGTTACAAGATGAAAAGAGCCATGGAGATGGATGGTGGGGATGGCTGTACAGCAACGTGGATGTACTTAATATCGCTGAACTGACATTTAAAATTGGTTAAGAGAATAAATTCTGTGCTATTTTACTACAATAGAAAAAAAATTGGGGCACCTGGGTGGCTCAGTTAAGTGTCCGATCTCAGGGTTCACAAGTTCGAGCCCCATGTCAGGCTCTGTGCTGACAGCTCAGAGACTGGAGCCTGCTTCAGATTCTGTGTCTCCCTCTCTTTCTGCCCCTCTCCTGCTCATGCTCTGCCTGTCTCCATTTCTCAATGATAAATAAATGTTAAAAAAGTTAAAAATAAATAAAAATTGGTTACGAATAAATGCTGTGTTATTTTACTACAATTAAAAAAGTTGGGTCAGCTGGGTGGCTCAGTCAAATAAGTGTCTGACTTTGGCTCAGGTCATGATTTCATGGTTTCTGGGTTCGAGCCCCGCATTGGGCTCTGTGCTGACAGCCTGCTTCAGATTCTGTGTCTCCCTCTCTCTCTGCCCTTTCCCTGCTCGTGCTCTGTCTCAAAAATAAACATTTAAAAAAAGTAAAAAAAAATTGAGGCGGGGGGGTGAGGAAAGGTCCCTAGCAGGGACCATCAGGAATAAATCCTGAACAAGCCGGACACCCCCCTGGCATTCCTCAACTAGCTCCTGGCCCCAAACTGTCGTTCCCCTTACTCAGGTGGATTTACTGGGCTTTGCTCAGATGCTCAGGCAGTGCCTCCCGTGCCCCAGGCTACAGGGTAAAATCCTCTGGGGCACTGGGGACTAATATGAGTGCCCAAGCCTGGCCCGGAAATGTATGAGATTGATCTGGGTGGGGCTCAGGCATCACTAGCTTTTAGAAATTCAGAGATGCTCCTGTGCGGGAGGACTAAGAACAACTACTTTAGGAGACTCATCACCCAAGCCTTTGTAGCATCAGAGGCTCCACAACGTGTGTCTCCCCCCCCCCGCCCCAAAGTTACCATACATATCATGTGCACCTAAGTCCCCCCAAGGAGCTTACAAAAACATACTTCTCGAGCATCTGAGTCCATAGGTCAGGGGTGGCCTAGGGGTCGGTTTCTCCAAGGGAATTCTGGGACTCCACACTTCGTGATGGTGGCTCACGGTAGCCATCACTGCCCACGACACAACCAGGTATATATACCACCCACATAAATACGACGACAGGAGAAAATATCTATTCTCAGAACAGGCAGGGCACGCTGACCTTTTCTAACATCCTATTTCGTTCTTAAAAAGCTGGTCGCAACCCACCAAGCTAATTTCACGAGCCACCAGTGACAATCGACAGCAGTTTGCCCACGCTGCCCCGGACCCTTCGGATGCCCAGGGCTGGAGTCTCCGCACCTCTCGTGACCTCAGAAATGGGTGGTTGGCCACTTAGGGATGATGGAAAGGTGGCCACACATCCTAAGAATAACAGCAAAATGCTTTTTCTTTTCTTCCACTTATCACCCCTTCAGTGGCTCACAACACCTCTGTGGGCATTAACCCATCTTCTGAAGAGCGTAAAGTGGCATCCGCCCGCAGTTCCAGAGCTGGGACAGAGGGAGGCAGCGCCGGACCCCGGCCTCTGCCAGTTCCTCCTCCTTATTAGCACTCTTGGGAGATAGAGCATTTGTTTTTGTGGATGGAACACGGGCGTTGAAGTAAAACCCTGCCGTTCTAGCCATCTCCCGGCCTCACAGCCCCCTGCTCCTGCAGCGACAGAGGGGCTTCCATATTTATATTTCAACTCTTCAATATGTAAAGTCTAGAAGGGCTGCCGAGGTTTGGGGCAGCTTTTGCTAACAAAACCAAATCCTCTGGCTTTCTCCGGCAGCCGGAGCCAGGGCTTGTAATCTACGGCTGCTTAACGGAAAAACTTTCCGGCAAGGGGAGCAACCCATGGTCTGTTTTAATTGTGGCTAAACCATGCACCCCAGGATACTCTGGGCAGGCACAGGAAAATCCTAGATTTGGGTGTGCAACACATGAGGATTAGCGGCAGATAAATAAAATTCCTTCTTCCCCCTCCGATGCTGGCCCGCGTTAGCCCCGAGCGCTCTTGCGGGGACCTTCGGAGATGAGCCGAGCCAGGGAGATTCAGAAACGGGGACACTTAAGAACAAAACAAAACAAAACAACCACAGCCTGGGAGATGTAAGCGTCCCCAATCAGGAACAATTAATTTGGATTACATAAGAGCATGCACCATCGGCGTCCCTCTGTGAATCCTGTACTGTGTCCTCGCCACACAGGGGGCTATGTGACAGATTTGCTGTTGATCACGGGGGTGGATAGAATAGCTGTTCTCTGCCCTGATACAGTATTGATGGCAGAATCCAGTATTAGTCAGCGCCGATCCACGGAGGGGATGAGTTAATCCACCAACACGTGGGGGCCGACCGCGTACTTTGTACAGAGAACAGTGGGAGATGCCAAAGAAATAGAAAAAAACGCCCCGTCTCGTTCCCTGTCACATCACAGACCGAACACGACGCCCGGCACGCAGCAGGTGCTCAGTAAGTATTTGCTGAACCAACACATGTGTGAAGACCCCGTGCTGTTAGCGGCATTTCTGAAACTGTGGTTGGTGGCGTGTAAGTAACGGTTATCTGAAAAATATCACAGCAAAAACGAGACAAAACCCAGAAAACGCAAAACAGGGGAGGGAAGGAGCTCATGCTCAAATAGGTCTGGTTAACAAGGCTGGTCTGCGGTAGATGCTCCCAGAATCTGATGTGTCCGAGGGCACGGTGAGGCTCTTAGACAAAGGCGAATCTTTTCTCAGATTTATGTGACGAGAGACCTCCTTTCTTCTGGAGTTTTTAGAGGAATGGTGTCCTGTGGAAAATGCTATGTTTTAACCCCTATCCACTGGTGATCCCAATGTTCACCTCCTCTTTGCCCTGCAAGAATCAAGGGCCTGAGGGGACAGCAGATGACACTAATGGGAGGCCGCCAGGCTCACTGATCCCCAGCTAGATGGGTGAGACGTGTAATGGCCGCCCAGCGTGGGACTTTGTTTGGGAAGCTCAAGAACTGGACAAACTGAGAATAGTTAGTCCTGGGTTCAGTGCTGTGATTTTTTTCTTCTTTTTTAAAAAAAAATTATTTTTGCGAGGGATGGGGGGAGGGGGAGAGGGACAGAGAGAGAGGAAGAGAGAACCCCAAGCAGGCTCTGTGCTGGGTCTCCCCAGCTGTGAGATGGTGACCTGAGCTGAAATCAATAGCTGGACGCTTAACCGACTGAGCCACCCAGGCGCCCCTGTTGCCTAATTTCTCACATGCCTACCCCTGGCTTCCCCGGATGTCATGAGGACACAGCTTAGACTGAGTCCCCTTTATCGGAGGCTCAGCTGAGCTTTCAAGGCTCCGGAAGGCCCTGGCATCTGACTGAATGGTCCTGTTGCACAGGTCACGAGAGCCGAGGCAGTTCACAGAAGGCAAGGTGCTTGCACACGACGGCCTCCCTTACCAGAACCACCTTACCTGAATGAAGCTGAACTCCCTCCAGTTGAGTGAGTTTGCAATGGATGGCAGTGAGGTGACGGCCAGCAAGGACAGCGTGCCGAGGGCCAGCACTCCCAGGGAGAGGTATATCTCCATCCGCCACACTTCCTCCTCACTCCACAGGCGGCTCTTGTTGGCCAAGACCTAATGTAGATGGAAGAGAAACCATGAGCACAGTGGCAGAGGTCGGTGCCCTGGGGCGTGGGCGAGCCGGTATTTTAGGACTTGGAGAAATGCCTAACATTCCCGCCACGCTCAACATGTGCCTGATCCCATTCTAAGTACTTTTCAGGCGTCGGCTCAGCTAATCCGCACAACCTCACAAGGTAGGGGTCCCTGTTATCCCCATGTTATAGATGAGGGAAAATGAGGCATAGGGATCAGGTAACTTTCCCAAGGTCATGCACAGGGTAGTAGATGGCAGGGCTGGGATTAGGACCTGGGCAATCTGGGCCTTGGCCTTCACAGACCTTCCCGGGGCCAGTCAACCTGCACAGTCACGTGAGCTAACAGCAAGGAGTCAGAGAAGTCTGTAAGACACATGACCTTAGCACATGGTTTTCTGGTCCCCAAGTCCCCAAAAGGAAGGAAGGACTCTCCTAGCTTGGAATCCCTTTAGCCAGATGGGTTCATGCCTCCGCTGCCTTCTCCCCTTCCAGACCGTCTTACCCTCAACCTTTGCCCTCCTATCCCTCAAGCTGCCCCAGCCACTGGCTTCCACTGAGGTCACACAAAGACACGCATAGACATTAGCCCCCTCAGCATTTCCTGACTCAGAGCCACCAGCTTCCGCCTTCCCACTCCATTCCCTCCGTTGCCCATTCCTGCCTGAAGAATACAGCTTTGGCTCGACCATTGCCAGGCAATAGAGACGGACATCCATCACTGAGGAGCGAGCACTTATGGAGCGCCTGCTGTGTGCTGTGCCCTGGGCTGCCAGGAGCAGGGTACCTGCCCTCACGGAGCTGTGGGATCCCCCGCGGAGCCCAGAGATTTCTACCTCCTACCTCCCCACCCGGCGTGCCTCTGTGCCTGCCACTCCCAGCTGACGCTCCCTCGTACGGCGCGCACACAAGGAAACTTCCATTAAGGTCGTTCCAGGAGAAGCATCATTCTCCATCTAGACCAGGTAGCAGAGTCCCAGGAAGTCAAGGTGTTCTATGAGAAACACCACGAATGCCAGGACTTGCGTGCTATAGCTGCAGACCTGGGAACAGTATCTTCTATCTGGAAATGTGAGTCTGTCTTAGCTGGCGGATCTCTGCTGTGCATAACAGAATGACTCATACAGGTTTTTGAGACACTTTTTCAGCAGGGAAAAAAAAAATAGCCCAAGCCCAGGTACAGATACAATATTAAAAATGAATCTGGTGGGCTGAGCAAAATGGCTAAAACCCGACAGCACAGTTTAAAGGAACCGAGAATGCGCCATCCCCCTGGTGCTTTTCCTGCAGGTGAGTGACACGATCATCTCTGCTCTATTTTAGGACAGGCTCACGGGGGTGTCTTTAAGCCACTAAGGGACCAGGAGTCCGGGGCCTCAGGTTCTCATCCTGACCACCAGTCGTATGTGGCTCTGGGCCTCCGTTTCTCCGCTGAGGCTGCAAGAGGCCACGTCTGTAATCCCCGATCGGGCTAAGCACAGGTCAGCATTTGCCGGAGGGGTCTCACCACTACAACCCCACATGGGGCGGAGAGGTCCCCCTGCGTCACAGGCTCCGAGTCTTACTCACACCTTTGCAGTGTCGACAACGGCCACCAAGTAAAGTCATCTCCCTGCAAGTTGTTTGTTCTTCAGCTATGCCTCATTAGTCATTCCTTTCTGCATTTCGGTGAAATCAGGCAGTTCGTGACATAAGAGTCTTGATGATTACACGCGTACCACGCTTGCTTGCAAAATGTCTTGTTTTCTTTCCTCTAATATTTCCACTCTGCGGTGACTCCGGGAAGCGGAGGGGTGAGGCGGGCAGGGGACCAGTGGGTGGCAAGGAACCTGCGTGAGGGATCTGCATCCCGCTGCCTTCTAGAGCCTGTGGGATTCTTAACCAACTTACTGGGCCACCCAGTGGGGTCCCCAGTGACCAGCGCCACACACAGCTACCCGGAATACGGGTTCAACAGCTCTTCACTCCCCTGGCAATTCTCCACTGCTAACCCAGTTGTCCCCCTTGACAATGACAAGGGCAGTGCTCGCCAGCAAGGATGGAACGGTGGCATTCACGTGTGCGACTTCCTTTCCCTGTGCATTGAAGGCTAGATCCTGAAGGACTCAGGGGCAGGAGGACCGGTGAGGCTGTGGCATTAGTCCCTCTCCACGTCCCGAGGGTGGGCGGTGGGTGGGAAGAAGGTGGTGCTGACCACCAGCCAAACCCAGAGAAGGGGTGGGGGCAGGACATGAAAGGCAGCCCTTTGGTAGTGGGAGAATGGCTTCAGTCTCAAGGCCGGAATCCGTGTCGATGCTGCCACTAGGGGGCAGTCATGGGACCCTGGGCCGTCCCTTCCCTGGCTAACAGCCCCGATGTCTTTCTCATGTTGTCTATCTCAGGGGGAACAGGATGATGTTTGTGAAATGAGGAGCATGTGATGGACACACAGGTGGCGATTAGTAAAATAAATGGCTGGTGCTGTTGTTCTTAATGGCAGCTAGGAAGTTAGACTCGTTCTTGCCCCACCTAAGCTCAGCGTGCCCTCCTTGTAAGAGATGCCTGGCATTGGCTAATTTTACAGCCACTCCACCAACATGCACAGGGAATCTGTGTTAGGAACCGTGGGCCTCAAAGGGGTGGAAGCCCAGTCACAGAACTGAGTGGGGGCAGAAGACAGACCTGTAAAAGAGTGAGTACAAAGCGGTGCATAATAAAAATCACAGAAGTATGGATGACATACAGTGGATTGCTCTGGGGAGTGGTGAGACAGGCAGGCAGGAGGAGCTTAGCAGAGGTTGGGTTTTAAAGGAGGAAGGGAAGTTTGCCAGACTGTCAAGGTGTCCCAGGGCAGGGAGTCTGGGCCAGGAGGAATGAGCTCTGCCCACTCGGAGGACAGCAGGGGACCCGAGTGTCACAGGAGAGAGCACAGCCACGGTGGTGAGTGCCTGTCTTACGAGAGGCCGGGGGGGTGAGGATGGCCTGAGGACAGGCTGGAAAAGTCACAGGACAGGCAGGAGTCTGAGAACAGCCTCAGCCCTCTATCTCAGAGCCAGCCCTCTATCCAGCTTCTACCCCAACACCTCCAGGTTCAGGAGACCCCCCGCCACTTCCGGGCTGCTCCGCCCGGTGTCAACCCCCCACCTCCATCTAACCACCCCTCTCCCTGACATACTCTGTCAGCCCTGGCTCTGCCCTCCAGAGCAATGTCCTCCAGGAGGACACTGTAAAGCCCCCTTGCATGACAGGCCTTCAGCGTCTCCAAGTGATCGTGTCCTATGGGAGGGATGGTTGCCTGGCAACCTCCATGGGGATGGGGGGACCTGCAGCCCTACAGGGCTTTGGACCTCGGGAAAATCACCTCGCACTCGCCCCTCTGCACTCTGGCATTTGCATGGTGGCAAAACCGGATTAACGTAACGTCAAGCAGAGCCTTAGCAGGGCGGAGAATTTAGACAGTGGCAATCAGAGGGTGGGTGGGGGAACAGGGGGCCCCGGGGTTTGCCTTGGGCTCTGGGAGGGAGAAGGCATCACTTTTGTCTCCACCCACGGCTTGAAGCACCTGCCACTCAGATGTGGGCAGCAAACACCGTGCTGGTCCCTGAGGGGCCATGCAGAGCCTCCTGCTGAGCAGGCTGGCTCATTTTAGAAGTAAGAAAATATCATGGAAGAGCATCGAAAACATTAGCACTGGGAGAGGCCTCGCTCTACATCAGGGCCTTGAGGACAGAAGAGGGGCTGTCACTTACTGAAGGTCAAGGTCTCTGTTCTAATGAGTGATGCTGGAGGCCAAGAGTTTAGGACTCTGGCCTTCAGCCTCCATGCCACCCCATGTCACCTACAGCAATGGCCAAGACTGTCTTATTCCCTTCCGGGGCCGGAGGGCCTGGTAGAGCAGGAGCTCAGTGAATGAATGAATGAATGACCAGAGTTCTGAGACCGTTTACTCAACTGTGAATTTGGACTTATTTCCTCACAGGAAGCAGGAAGGATATAAGCATGGATCTGCAGCAGCATGGCTAGATCTGAATCCCAGCTCAGCCACTGACTGGCTGTGTGCCTTTGGTCAAGTTACATAACCTCTCTGTGCCTCAGTTTTCTCATCCATAAAATAAGGATGTAAAATCCGTAAAATAGTATAGCCCTTGCCTTGTTGGAATAAGGGTTAAATGAATTCACAGTGAGTATGTAAAGCGCTTAGAATGGTACCTGGAACATAGCACACTCGTTTTAAGGGTTCGTGCCTATTGATTTTTCCCTTCCTTTCATTTCCAGAGGGCGTATTGCTTCTCTGCCTGAAATCTGGGGTTCTTCCTTTCTCGCAGGAAAGCCTAAGCCCACAGGCACAGTGATGCCAGGTGGCTGTGGGTGGGGAGGAACCAGGGCATCTGATGAGCTGCCAGCAGGGAAGTGGGGGCCCCAGGAGTGAACAGGGGCTGGGATCTGTGGTTCTCTGGCGGGTGGCCCAGCCTTGCCTCCAGCTCCTGCCCTGGGGAAGCGGCCTGGCTTCTGAGGGGACAGCTCCATGGTTGGGAGGGGCCCGGCCCTATAAGATCCCTGCTTCCCAAGCAAGAACAGACACTTCCGGGGCCACCCAGGCTGAAGGAAGGGTGGATGACAAGTATGACACTGGCACCCAGGCCACACTCTATTGGGGGACTAATATCCTACAGCGGGAAGGACCCATGTCCCTGGCTGGGGGGCGAATTAAGCAGATGGGGGGAAATAAAGGCAGTGTTACTTATGGACCTGAGCTTGGGACTCAGAACGATGGAGGCCCTGGGAGCCTGTTACCCAGGAGGGGGCATGAGGGGCCCTCTTCTGTGGGCACAGGTCCTAGTTAATGATGAGGTGCTGCTATCCGGCTCGGCCCGAAGGCCCCTCCACTCCCCAGGAACCCTTCTGGCAAATAAGCACCACATGGGTTTCCTAAATGAATGAAAATTAACACCCCTCTTCTCCACCCCCCCACCCCCAAGCACCTTGCTCCTGCAGCCCTCCTCACCTCAGCTGACTGGCAACTGCATCAGGATGTTCTGGCCCAAACCTTGGAGTCTTCCCTAACGATGCCACATACCATCTGTCTATTTCAAAATTCTGTGTACTCTGGCTTCAAAATATGCCTTCAGGATTTTCTTAGCCCCTGCTGCTCCCACCCCACCCCAAGCCCCCAATGACTCCTGTCTGGGCTCCTGCGCAGCCTCCTAACGGCTCTCTTGGCATCTGCCTTTGACCTCCTATCATCACCTATTCTCCATGCAGCAGCGAGAGGCAGGTAAAACGTCAGGCGGATCACTTCCCCTACTCAAAACCCTTCACTGGCTTCCTGTTTCACTCAGAGTCTAAGGCCAAAGCCCTTCTTCCGCCTTCAGCGCCTCCCTGGGCTAGCTTCAACTACTCAGACCTAGCCCACCACCCTTTGCCCGGCGCCCGGAGGCCCCTCAAACGTGCCAGGAAGCTCCCACGTGAGGGCCTCGGCTCTTGCTGCTCCCTAGGCCAGCTGCCACTGGCCACTCTCCCCTCCTTCTGTCTCCGCTCACCTATCACCCCTTCGGCAAGGCCTCCCCTGGCCACCTTTAAGACTGTACTCCACTGTACTCCCTGCCTGGCTTTCCGAAGAGCCTAACTTGCAGCCCTACTGTGTGTGCTTCCCCGCCCTGGGCTGTGCCCACCAGCACAGGGTCTTTCCTGGGTGGTTCACGAATCCTCAGCACCTCGAGCGAGAGGCCAGGGCATGGCGGGGCGGGGCATGAGGTGCTGGGGCGGGGCCGCTGCATGGTGGGGCGGGGCCAGGGGCGGGGCCGGGACCACGGAGCCCGGGGAAGTACCACGTACCTGTTCGATGGCTAGGTTGACCACCTCGTAGCGGTTAACGCGGCCCAGGGGCAGGCAGAAGCTGTAGAGCGCGTGCAGGGCGGCGCAGAAGAAGCTGAGGAGGCCTATCTGCTTGCGGTGCTGCAGCCAGTGGTCCAGCCAGTCGGGGAAGCGGCGGTACTTGGTGCCCCGGCGCAGCTGCAGGGCGGCCGCCAGCACGCCGGGCAGGTACACCAGCGACAGCAGCACGTAGGCCACGCACGGCAGCGTCGTGTTGACCACAGACACGGGGAGCTTGTAGAACTTGCTCTTGCTGTCCCGCACGTAGGGCTGCAGGACGTCGCGCACGAAGTTATAGATGTAGAAGAAGATGAAGAGCCCCAGGGCCAGGAGGGTGGGCACCTTCCAGCCCGGGAGGAGGCGCAGGGGCATGGCCTCCACCTCCCGGGCCGAGACCAGGGCCCCCATGTCCACGGGCGTGAAGCCCATGGCCTGTACCAACTCGGAGACGGTGCGCTTGGCTTCCGGCTGGTCGCTGCAGATGGGCACCTGTGGAGAGGTGGCAGGGCGGGGGTCAGATTGGGTGGCAGGCTGCAGGGGTGGCCAGGGCCTCAGAGAGTGTCTAAGCCAAACTCCTCACTACGGGGCTGAGGAAACCGAGGCCAGGGGGCCACAGAAGGTAGTTCTGACTCCCAGGCCAGGGTCCTTCCTTGGATCCCTCTAGCCTCCCAGCCCCTAGGTCCAGCATGCCCCCGATCTAAAGAGAGGCCCCAGGGCTCACCTGGCAGTGAGCATTTTGTCCAGCTCACTGCCATCAGCAACCACAAACAACACACCCACCTAGGCAGCCCTCCAGGGCTCCCCGGAGTAGCTGCTTTGAGAACTGTGGCCAGCTCCGGGGGTCGCTCAGTAACTAGGTTCTGCAGACAGCCCAGAATGTGCAGCTGTGGTTACAGCTCCATCCCTCAGCCCATAGTGTCCCCTTCAGTGGTGTCCCTTGGCCCCCTACGGCCCTCAGCCACCACACGAGTCAACCCCGGCCTTGCTGCCCACCACATGCTCCACGCAGCACATTAGTGTCCTCAGATCTCTGAACACTGTGGCCTTGCTGACACTGTTATGGTTGGTCTGGTCCATAGCTGCTGATTTAGCACCTACTATGTGCCGGGCTTTATACATGCAGCCCTCAAGCCTATAGGTTAGTATGTCCCCATTTTTCAGTGGCGTAAACTGAGGTCCAGGAGCATCATTTCTCACCTCTGTACCTTTGCACATTGTGCCCTCAGCCCAGAGTGTCCTCCCCTTTCCCTGAACCTGACAACATGAAGCGGGACCTAGCTGAAACTGACCTTGAATTCTTCCCTAGCCGGCTGCTAGCTCTGCTCCCTGCAGGCCCTGCCTCCCAGCTCTCCCCTGCCGTCCCTTGCCTGTCCACACACGGGAGCCCCATGATGCAGGCTGTAGGTAGGGTGCTCTGATCAGGGGTGCCGAGACACCTGTGGGCTCTCCCACAGACTGGCACAGAGCTGGGCAGAGGAGGCATCTGGGCTGGACAAACTGGTAGAAGTTCCCAGTTTGTTCCCACACCAGAGCCAGACATCCTTCCTCCAGGAAAATGCAGGTGGCCTCTTCGCATTAAAAACCACCTCATCTTCATAAAAGCCCCTCCTCCCAAGAACGGTAGGCAGCCCTGGCCATTTCCTGGAGCCATTTTCCACCTCTAGAAAAAAACCTGCTATTGACAATTCTGAGAAACTGACTCAGTTCTTGGAAGCTCTTAGAATCAAAGAGCTAATGTTTAGGGCTTGCCTGCTTCCTCAGGACCTGGCACATACATGCGTTACTTTCCTCTTTCTCAGCCCACCCTCAACGCAAAGTCTGTCCTTTCCTGACTCCTAGTAGTAAAAAGAAAGTCATCAACCTCTTCCCCTTTGCCCAATGGGAAATCACGTGGTCACAGAAGAAAGAACATGGATTTCAGGCTCATATGAACTTGGTTCAAACCCCAGCTCTCCAGCCGTGGGACTTGGTCTAAGTAAGTTAATTAACATCCAGGAGCCTCCGTTTCCTGATCTGTAAAATGGAACTTTGCAGCGACGGGAGATGAGCTGAGGTAATGCACATAAAGAGCCTGGCATACCGAGGACCCTCCACGAAAGTTAGCCATTTACATTTATTGTGATGATGTCTCGAATTCCCCTGGCACCTACCTGCCTGTTCCCATCCCTCGGGCCGAACTGCAGGGTCCAGGCAGAGATGACGTTGAAGGCCTTGACCACTGTGCAGGTGGGGAAGAGGGAAGCCAGGTACTCAGCATTGGACTCGTGGTGCCCAAGGTGCTCCTGCTCCGTGGGGTTGCTCACATCCACCAGGATCTTGCCAGCCAGCTGGTCGCTGAGGCTGCACAGTGAGGAGTAATGCTCCCGGAACATGGCCACAAAGATGATACCAGGCGAATCCACTGCATCTGCCTGGAAAGTCACTTGTGCCGCTGAGGGGAACAGCCCGGCCGTGCGCTTGGGGTTGCGGCTCCCCACCACCACACTGAAGCCGGAGCTCACCAGGCGTGTGACCAGGGAGCGGGCAAAGTCCCCGCTGCCCAGGACCCCCACTTTGGGGGACTCGCTGGGGATGTCGGCAAGGCTCCCATCACTGTCCATCAGGCGGCGGCTGATCAGAGGCTTGTCCATGTCTCCTGACATCTTGGCGGCTGGAAAGAAAGCAGAACTTGGTCAGTGGAAAGCTCCAATATCGTCTTTCATGTCACCTTCCTCTTTCTTGTCTGACTACATGGTGGTCAGACAGTCCCCCAGCAGCCCTTCGTGTTACTATATCCCAGCACAGAGGGACAAGCTGAGTGAGACCTAGCGCCTTCCCAGGGAGACTCGGGAAGAGGGGGAAGGACCTCTGCCCTCCACCCATTGTCCTTAGTCCTGGATTATTTCCTTGGGACACATTTGCAAATTTACAAGGGTGCTGAGAGAGAAGGGTATGGAATTTCCATGGTAAGCACCATGCAGTGCCGTCCTTCTCTTCAAAGGAGTATGTGACAGTTATCGTTAGAGCAGCTTGAAGGCAGGGGACCCTCATCTTATCTGATTTTGCGTTTCTCCATTGGTCATAGGGCCTGGTACCACGATGGTGCTCTGTGTTTGGGTGACCTGAATCCTGCTCTCACAGGGTAGAAATGGAGTGAGACAGAATGGTGAGTGGGGCCTTGAGATTGGGTGTGTGCCCTGGGGTCTCCTTTACTGAGCCTCACATATGACAGAACATGATGGAAAACCTGGCTTTGGCCAGGAGTTTATAGTAAACTTAGACAGGAAACATTCTGCGGTCATTGTCACCAACTTCTTTTTTTTTTAAGATTATTTATTTTGAGAGAAAGCATGAGTGCGTGAGCAGGGGAGGAGCAGAGGGAGAGAGGAGAGAGAATTCCAAGCAGGCTCCATGGTGTCAGCATGGAGCCCAGGACGAGCCCCGATCCCATGAACTGTGAGATTGTTACCGGAGCCAAAATCAAGAGTCGGGCATTTAAATGACCGAGCCACCCGGGTGCCCTGTCACCAACTTCTAACTGAAATTTGCTACATCCCTCAAGGATGAACATAAGCAGCGAGACACAACAGTATTAGCAGTACCTGTCAGGTTGTCACCAGCACTGACCAGTGTCATATCACAAGTTTAATTGTCAAAGAGTTCTTCATGGGGCGCCTGGGTGGCTTAGTCGGTTAAGCGTCCGACTTTCGCTTGGGTCATGATCTCGCGGTTCGTGGGTTCGAGCCCCGCGTCGGGCTCTGTGCTGACTGCCAGCTCAGAGCCTGGAGCCTGTTTCAGTCTGTGACTCCCTCTCTGACCCTCCCCTGCTCACGCTGTCTCTCTCTCTCTCCTAGTAATAAATAAAACATTAAAAAAAAAAAAAGAGTTCTTCAAATACTATATAAACTTTTCACTAACTTAAAATCATGGTACATATGGGATACCTGGGCAACTCAGTCAGTTAAGCATCCAACTTCATCTCAGGTCATGATCTCACGCCTCATGAATTTGAGCTCCACATCGGGCTCTGTGCTGACAGCCTGGAGCCTGGAGCCTGCTTCCTGTGTCTCCCTCTCTCTGCCCCTCCCCCAGTTGCACTTGCTCTCTCTGTCTCTCTCTAAAAATAAACATTAAGAAAATTTAAAAAATCATAGTACATAGGAGCACCTAAATATATACAACATATATTAACAGATGTGAAGGGAGAAATAGATGACCATACAATAACAATAGGGGACTTCACTATCCCACTTTCACCAATGGATGCAGACAGAAAAGCAATACAGAAACTGGACTTGAACTATACTTTCGCCCAAATAAACCTAACAGACACACACAGAACATCCCATCCAACAGCAACAGAATACACGTTCTCTTTATGTATCCACAGAATATTCTACAGGATAGAACTCTTTAAAATATTGGTATTGAAGGAGTATACCTCCACATAATAAAAATGATATAAGATAAGCCCATACTAAAATCATACTCAATAGGGAGAAGCTGAAAGCTTTTCCTCCAAGATCAGGAACAAGGATGCCCCTCTTGTCACTTCTCTTTAACATAGTACTAGATATCTTAGCCAGAGAAGTTAGGCAAGAAAAAGACAGAGAAGGCATCCATATTGGGAAAGAAGAAGTAAAATTTGTCCCCGTTTGCAGATGACACGATCTTACATATAGAAAACTCTAAAGACTCCACATGAAAAAAGCCTGTTAAAACTAAGAAACTAATTCAGCAAAGTTGCAGGATACAAATTAACATACAAGTATCAGTTGTTTTTCTTTCTTTCTCTCTTTCTTTCTTTTCTTTCTTTTTTTAGTTTATTTATTGAGAGAGAGAAAAAGAGAGGGAGGGAGAGCCAGAGAGAGAGAGAGGGAGAGAGAATCCCAAGCAGGCTCCATGCTGGCAGCACAAAGCCGTAAGTGGGGCTCGATCTCACCAACTGTGAGATCATGACCTGAGCCAAAATAGAATCGGGCACTTAACCGACTGAGCCACCCAGGCACCCCAAGTAGCGCTTCTAAGCATTAACAATGAACTAGCTGAAAAAGAAATGAGGAAAAGAATCCCATTTACAATACCATTGAAAAAAATAAAATACTTAGGAATAAATTTAATAAAAAGGTGAAACATCTGTATATACAAAACTATGAAAAATGATGAAAGAAATTCAAGACACAAATAAATAGGAAGATATCCTATGATCATGGATTGAAAGAATTAATATTGTTAAAATATCCATAGGACTTAAAGTGATCTATAGATTTAAAGCAATCTCTATCAAAATTCCAATGGTATTTTTCACAGATATAGGAAAACCAATCCTAAGATTTGTATGGAACTGCAGAAGAGCCCCAAATAGCTAAAGCAATCTTGAGCAAGAAGAACAAAGCTGGAGGCATCACACTTCCCAATTTCAAATTATATTACAAAGCTATAGGAATCAAAACAGTGTAATACTGGCATAAAAAGACACAGAGATCAATGGAATAGAGTCCAGAAATAAACTCATGCATATAAAGTCAACTTATCTTCAACAGGTGTCAAGAATACCCATTGGGGAAAGGACAGTCTCCTCAATAAGCGGTGCTGGGAAAACTGGACATACTCATGCAGAAGAATGAAACTAGACCCTTGCCTCACACCATACACAGAAACCAACCTAAAATGGATTAAGGACTTGCTCCAAAAGGATGTAAAACCTGAACTGTATAACTCCTAGAAGGAAACATGGGAAAAGACTCCTTGACATGTGTCTTGGCAACACTTTGTTTTGTTTTTGATTTAATACCAAAAGCACAGGCAACAAAAGTAAAGACAAATTAGGGAGACTACATCAAACCAAAAACCTTTAGCACCGCAAAGGAAACAATAAACAAAATGAAAAGGCAACCTATGGAACAGGATAAAATATTTGTAAACCATCTATCCAACATAGGAGTAATTTCGAAAATATGTAAGGTACTCATACAACTTAGTAGTAAGCAAAACAGGGGTGCCAGGGTGGCCCAGTTGGTTAAGAATTCGACTTTGACTCAGGCCATGATCTCACAGTTTGTGGGTTTGAGCCACACATTGGGCTCTGAGCCCAGGTCAGAGCCTGGAGCCTACTTCAGATTCTGTGTCTCCTCTCTTTCTGCCCCTCCCCTGCTTGCTCTCTCTCTCCCTCTCTCAGAAACAACCATTAAAAAAAAATTGTAAACAAAACAAGACAACCTCCCCCAACAAACAATTCAATTAAAAAATGGGCAAAGAACCTGTAGACATTTTTCCAAAGATGACATACAGATGGCCAACGAGTAGATAAAAAGATGCTCAACATCACTAATCATCAGGGAATGTAATCCTGAACCACAATGACCTATCTCCTCAAACCTGTTAGGATGCCTAGTACCAAAAAGTCAAAAGAGAATACACGTTGGTGAGGATGTGCAGAAAAGGGAACCCTTGTGTATCATTGATGGGAATGTAAATTGGTGCTGCCATTATAGAAAACAGCATGGAGGCACCTCAAAATATTAGAAGTAGAAATACCATATGATCCAGCAATCCATCTTCTGGGTATTTATCCAAAGGAAATAGCATCTCTATTTCAAAGAGATAGCTGCCCCCCACGTTTATGGCATGATTGATTACTAACAGTAGACAAGATATGAAAACGACCTAAGTGTCCACTGATGATGAATGGATAAAGGAAAGATTGTGTGTATACACAATGGAATATTGTTCAACCTCAAAAATGAAGGAAATCCTTACAGTTGTGCCAACAGGGATGAACCTGGACGACATTATGCTACATGAAAGAAACCAACACAGAAGGACCAATACTGCAACATTCCATTTGTATGTAGAATCTGAAAAAGTCAAACTTAGCAGCGGAAAAGTAGAACGGTCACCAGAGGCTGGGAGGTGGGGAGATGGGGGTCAAATGGCATTCATTCTCAGTTATAAGATGAACAAATTTGAGAGATCTAATGTATAACATGGTGACTAATGTATAGTCATATAACCGTATGCATGTATATACCGTATATATAGTCACATACCACAGTCATATATAACCGTATATACTGTATATATAGAGTACTGTATACTTGAAATTTGCTGAGAGGAGCTCTCCAGTGTTCCCAATGGTGGTAATTATGTAAAGAGGTGGATACGTTAATGACCTTGATTGTGGTAATCATGTCAGTGTCTATGTATATCAAAACATCACATTGTACACCTTAAATACATAGATAGCTTCGTCCATTGTACCACAATAAGGGTGGGAGTAAATATCAGACCTGCCATGTTGTTATTTAACGTACTGATAAAGAAGCACGCATGTTACTGCTGCACACTTAAAAACCTATTTTGGGAGCTGTGTTTCACTATAATTGGTCTCCTTTGTAACCCTAGGTTACTTTGTGTATGTAAGAGTATTCTAAGCAGAACTCCAGGGGCTTCGCCAGCCTGTCAATCCTCGGCAGAGAAGGGCTAGACCCGCTGCCAGCAGGAGCCAGTGGAGCAGCAGGGGTGGCTTTTAACCCCCTCTTCCCATTTTCCACAGCAGTGTCCTGGGTGAGGGATGCGTGTGTGTATGGTGGGTTCAGGGTCTACTGCAACAGAGGGGGGGCGGAGGGACCAGGAGACTGTGCCTCGGCTCTATCATGGACCCTCTGCGTG